ATTATCTGCGGGTGATTTCCACGTATATAGCCTCCGTAGTGGTAGCTTGAACCAGGTGTTCATGATAGTTAGTTGTTTCTCCTGGCAAAATTGTAGTAGTCTGTCACCTCTATCATTGCGATTGCCCAGTCCGTAATTTCCACAAATATGTTCCACTTTTCCACAACCCACTTTGGCTTTAAAATCTCCTACGATTAATGTTGCTTCATAACTCTTTGTCATTTTAAGTAATTCTTGGAGATTCTCATAGAACTGCTCTATTTCATCATCCGACTTGTCAGCAGTTGGTGCATAAACTTGGAGTATGTTTATGTTTACGGGCTTACTCTGTAATTTCAAAAGAAGCATTCGATCAGAATAGGGTATGAATTCAATAACATACTTCTTATAAAATATAGATTTTACCATATTTAGTGAATTAAGAGTATTAATATATATTTTGTATACGTTGGGCAAGTGATTAAATATTTTTGGAGCAAGATACATAACAGATCTCTGTCCTATTGATTTCTTGATATTTCCCAATTGAACATGTTGATTGGTTTTAGTGCGAATCTTGTAGTGATGAGGTAATGTACGCAGGATATATGCTTATAATTGTATGTGTACAGTAGCAGGGAATACATACAAAGCTGCCTAGTATCCATTACGTTAGTCTCACAGAATAATAAATGAGAGGACTATGTCATTTTGTTAATAATTGTTATTTAAATTAATATATTTTTTGTAATATGTCGACTTTCTTTAAATAAGTTTTTTGTACACCGCCTCATCCAAGAATTGCATGTCTAATTCTACACTCAGCTAGTAATAAATAATTCATACAATATTTTTAAATACTTTAAATCTACTTTAGATTTGAGAAATTTAAACTTTGAAACTAAAGCCCTCAAAAACTTTGTTATTTCATTTATCAAGACATTCCATTTCAACATATTTTTTTTTATTTAAATACAAAACCACATCAACCGCGCAGGGTTATTAGTGGCTGTAACAAATACATGAAATATTACATTAAATACAATTGAATGATACATTAAGTACAATTGAATATTACATTAAATACATTTGAATAAATTGATGTCTTTTAAATAGCTTAACAGTGTTGAAATTTTTTTGGTGAGAACTGTCTTGAGATCATCATCTGTGAATCCATGGGATCTTCTTTTTTCCATGAATTGAGGACAATCAAGCAAGATATGTTTGACAGTCAGTGGGTTAGAGCAGCTGCAGCAGATAGGTAGTGGTTCTTTTTTTATTAAGTATTTGTGTGTTAAGGCAGTATGGCCAATTCTTAGACGATTAATAATGACTTGGTTTCTTCTGTTTAAAGGAGTCTCTAGAACATCAGTTATTTTTGGGCAAATTACATTTAGTTTAGTACCTAATTTGTCCCAATAATTTTGCCAAGTATTAATACAATGGATTTCAACCAGGTTTTTTAGATCGGTGTACGGATATGTCTTCAATTGTGCAATATGGTTTGAGTTCATTCGACTTTTGTTAGCCAGTTGATCTGCTTTTTCATTTCCGTAGATACCTATATGCGATGGTACCCAAATAAAAGCCGCTTCCTTTCCTAATGATGAAAATTTTTCTAGTACGTTTTTTATACTCTGTATAATAGGGTTGTTGGTATATATTTGTTTCAGTTTCAGTAATGCATTTAATGAGTCTGTTACGGTAATGCACTTCATCGTTCTACTCTTTTCGAAGAAGATTAGGGCTTCCAAAATAGCTGTAGCTTCACCTGTTAGTATACTGCAGTTGGTTGGTATCGATATGCTATAAGAATTTTCTTTACAGTAGTAGGCAGCAGCGTGACCATTGGGAGTTTTAGAGGCGTAAAGATTTGCAAATAATTAGGATAGTGGTCTAGAATTTCCATGAATAGAGATTTAATTACTGTGGAATTTGTAGTAGATTTGGGATACTTGGTAAGTGTCAATCAATAGTTAATGGGTGGCTTGTCCATGGGGGATAGTTTGCGTTTATATGTAGTGTTGCATTGAAATTATTCCTATCAAAAGTTGTAAGGTTTATTCTTTCTATGAGGGGTGTAGAGTTTTTAGTCTTATTGTTAGGAGGAAGGCCAGGGTTGCAGATATGGAAAAATACAGGATGCTCTTTCTGGGATGATATCTTTGCAATGTAGTTCAAGGATAGTTGCTGTCGTCTTATATGTAAGGGAGGTTCTCCAGTTAGAACTTGCATGCTACTAACTGGACTAGTTTTAAAAGCTCCCAGTGCTAATCTCAAAGCTGTAGTTTGAATACTGTTTAGTTTTTTTACAGTGGTTTTACATGCAGCATCGTAACATATACAACCATAGTCGATTTTAGTTCTAATGAGCGATTTGTAAAGCCTAATTAATATTTTATGATCAGCACCCCAAATTCTGTTGGATAATATTTTGAGTATATTTAATCTTTTTTGGCAGGAAAGCTGTAGTTTATTTATGTGTAAATTCCAATTTAAAGTTCTCTCAAAAGTTAGACCTAGAAAGTTTATTTCTTTTGACTGTTCTAAAGGTAAATTCAACATATTTGATAGTTTTACAGTAGTTGCTATTTGTGTAACTATTTCTATAATATTTCTTTCTTTTTCTTTACCTGTCAAATTTTTAACAATATTCCACAGGTTTTGGAAACATTCTTGTTTTTCTCAATTTCATTAATTACTATTAAATTGGGAATAAGCCACAATCAAAGATAAAAATACGTTTATTGGCGTTTCAATTTCCACTTCGGAAATCGTTCTCAAAATACAAACAGTAAATTAAACAAATTTTGTTTTTTGTTACATAGTGAAAAACTCTTCTAATAATTTAATTTTATCTGACTCATTTATATTGACAATTCAGACATACATTATGCATTTTAAAGTAGACGACTTTAAAATGATATTGCCAATACTGTTGAGTTGCGCTCCTGGGACGACTTTACTTATAAGATAGTTCATTCGATTACATGAAATCAACTTTAACTTGAGAATATCTGTCAGAAAAAAATCATAGCATGTAATTCGTCTTTAAAAAGACAAACACATAACATGATGACAGTAAAATTCTCCAGTTAGTGATTCCATAGTAAATTATGAGGGAAAAACCAGAAAAAAAACCTCATAATACTATCCCGACATTGTAAGTATTTGTTCGTGAATTTAGTTTACCTTCAACAAACATCAAAATTCTAATTTTATATGTTACGTTATTTAAAAAACATAAATGATGTATCCTCTATATGTTACTGACTTACTAATACTGGTATTTTCTTATTAATAACTTCCTCTTTCAATATTGGTAACCAGATCCTACTACATTCTGCCGAGAAATTTGCGACACAATTGGCCTCATTTAGCATAATTAGAGCCGCTTCTTTGATTTTTCTTTTTTTACCATCCGTTTCTTTTAGGACTACATTTGAATTATTCCATTGAACCCTATGTTCATTATCCCATGCGTGTTTACAGATTTGAGATCTATCAAATTCTCTATTTTTAATATAAGATTGATGTTCACTTATTCTAACATTTAATGTCCTTAATGAATTCTTCAATGTCCTTCGGCCCTTTAACTTTGTCATGCTCTAATCAATACTTTGACAAGAGCTATCTGATCTGTATTTCTGAAAAGTTTACTTCAAGCATGAAACAAATTCGTCAGTATAGTAGGTTTTTGGAGCATTTTTTTTGGCTTTTCGGTTGATTCATGTACAATTTAGCTAGAAGCGCTAATAATATATTCCTTGAAATGCTTTATTTTATAAATTGGTTACCGATAGAAGGCCTTCACAATCAGTAATCAGAATGTGTATTATGTTCCTTTTCATGTTGTCTTCTCTCTTCTGTAGGGATTAATTTTTTCGTTGGTAATACACAATAAAGAGTATTAAACTTGGCTAAAATATCTTCTTAAAGACTTGTATGAACAATTTCTCTCTAAATTGCAGGAACATTCTTAGGAGAAATGGTAGAAAATCTGGGTTCACAATGGTTTGGAAGGTTATACCAAAATATTTTTTAATTCCTTTCCCCTCTGTTTTTGGTATTTGTTTTACATTTTCACCTTTATTGTCTGGCTTTTTACAATCACTGCATCTATCGTTTCTTCATTGTTTTTCTCACCTTCACGTTCTAAAGTTTCTTAATTATTTATCACATGTTCAGATTCAATGATTTCGAAATCTGATTCTTTAGAATCACTGCCAGAAGGTTATCGATGAATGGAAACTTGACTATCTATATAGTTTGGATCTTCAGAATTATCACTATTGGCAAATGGATCTTCAACATCATCTAATTCTGAATCAGAATAAAAATTGTTGGCGAACTTTTCTATATGTGCTTGAGTCAGCGGTTGACGTCGATTCGTGCTGAAAGAAAACTATTGGTATAATTAGTTCCACCGAAAACAACAATTTGGGATTATATATCCCAAACACTGAAGTTGTCATTTTTTTGTACCACTTCGATTTGTTTTTCATATGATTAATTATATTCTTTCTACAGAGGTTTACTTATAAATACAAATCAACATCAACTCACCTTTTGCGGTAATTTTGTTTGAAATCATACAGATACTTTAGAGTAAAAGACACGTCTTTGTTTTATCAATGAGAAATATAGGGTAAACGAATGGTGGGTTGCCTATGAATTAGAAACATGGTCGTACTAATATAAAATACCACTTTAGTTTAATTTCAATGTAAAATTGGGCTTCATTTACCCAATAGATTTTTTAAAATTTTTTGATGGGACATAATGTCCCAAGCGGGCCGAAAGAGTTCACAGTTCATGATATGATAAAAAACAACATTTAATAAAAAAACCACAAGTACCTACTACTAGGAACAGAATATATTTACCACATTTTTACACGATGTATTAATAAATCTATATCTATTTTATCTCCATTTAAAATATCTGTTTACACTAGATTTGTTTTTTGTCCTTTATTGCGTTCTTTACCCCCGCTTACGTATATTCTTATTTGTTTTTAGGTGTTAAGGAAGCTTATATACACACATACGGCGACGAACCTGGAGCGGATGGAAACGTTCAAGGTTTTCTAAAAAAGACCAACGATAAAGGAGACGACGGCTACAAGCACTTTGACAGCTATCATAAAAAAGATGCTGATAAATATGGGTTTGAAGTTCATTCCGAATACGGAAAGTTAAACAAGGCAGACATCGATACTGCAAGCGGTAGAAAGGAGGCTACTTCTAACAAAGGTATTATATTTGTTGTGAAATAAAATAATATATTATAACAACTGTAGAAAAAACAGTTTTCTTGTATTCCTTATGCAAGTTTATATTTAGTTTTATTTCTTGATATGGTTTTCTTGCTGAATGTCTGAAAAGTATATAATAAATTATATGATTTTTCTTTTATCTAGATTAAACATCTTACATCAGAACATGTTTGTGATTCTAGCTTTTGATAAATTTTCTCCATTCATTTCTGTTGTTTCGCCAATTGTATTGCTTTTTTGCCCTTATTTTGTAATATCCCTTGCTAGATAATGTTTTTGTTAAGTTAAAGGTTTTATAAACATCTATTACATTTATAAAAAGTACTGGGATTAAACTATCTCCTTGTTTAACTCCTTACGTTGTTTTACATGGTTACGATTACATATTTTGTGTTCTTATTGTATTGTATATTCTTTTCATAATATCTACTTTTAGTTGCTTCTACCACGTCTTCGCTTACTTGTTTCTTTTTCAGACTCTCCAATATAGTTTTTCTTTCGATCGAATCAAATGCTTTTTCCATGTCTATAAAACTTAGGTATACTTCTTTATTTTTCTTTTAAGGTTTTCTCTATTTCTGTTGCATAGTGAATATGGCCCTGTGCTACCTTCTTTTCTGAATCCGCTTCGTACGTTCTTTAGTTTATGTTCTATGTCTATACTGATTTTTCTTTGTAAGTAACTATTTTGTAAAAAGGAAAAGGCAGTAAGACAAAGCAAAAGATCTGAATCTGGTTTCGAAAATTATTTCACGGATTTAATATTAGATGTCGCTATTTGCGTCCATTCGAAGTCATATTACAGTTACTTCCTAAGATAGAAGAGATTTATTTTCAAGTTCAGGGCGACTGTGAATTGCCGTTCTGATGAAGCCTATTAGGACGAAATACGTATAAGCGGATGAACAGACGCACTATACGTGAGATCTAATCTTAACTGTATTTTTTTTTATTTCGATATACTCTGTACTAGTACTAGAAACCAATTCGCTAAGGATTTTTGCTTAGTTAAGGAGATATGTTGTAGAATGCAAATTTTAGATTCCCTATGTCTCTAATAAAATCTTTATCAACTTCTGTTTTGCCTTGCAATTCTCAGAAGATACAGATTAAACCAAAAATCTGAATTTGGTTTTGAAAATTATTTCACGGATTTAACTATTTTGTATTTTAAGAAACTATTATTTCGTATGGTTTTGTTACTACATACAGTAGGGATATGCTCCTACAGTTCTGATAGATTCTTGTGTTTCCCTTCTTATGCACTGATACTGTTATTTTATTTGACCATTTACTTGGCAGTATTTTTTTCTTCCAGTTTAGATTTAGGATCTACAATAATCTCTTCTTTGGGCAGTTTAACTCATAAACTTAACATCATGGAAGTTGGAAATGAAATATTATATCCATTTTTTTTAATTTTAGATAATGCTGATGAAACCAAAAAGACCTATAAAGTGGTAGAGGATCCAGAAAGGTATGTTATTGTTGTTTTTTTTTTTTAGAATGCATGACTTAGGAATTTACACACCATAATATGATCATGTGATTGTATTACTACAAAAAGTAAAATCAGTTTTGATAAAAATATCTAATAAAATGGTGGTTACTGCACATAAGTAATCAACTCTATAGAACCGATATTTTAACCTTTTCATAAATTGATGTTAACTAAACATGTGCATTAACAACTCGTAAATAATACAATTATTTTTGTAAAGAAAAAGTGACTGCTCTATGCTATGCTTTACCATAATTTTACCATAATTTTCAAATAGGTCTCTGGTGTCCCAGTATTAGTTTATACCGGGTCATATTTATCCCATTCTTATTGTTGCAGACTTACTATGGCACGTTGATATTTTCTAATAGAAAAAAATTCAAAAAGAAATTGAAAACCTCTCAAATATTTCTGAAAGTTAAATAAATCCAAGGAAGAACCTTATGCTGTCTTAGAGACTTATTATGTACCTGGTGACGATTCTGTCTCACATTCCGATAAAGTATATGAGAATACTCCTGACCGTGTGGATGAGTATGGAAATATTTGAAGATGAGTCTGAAAAAAATTATTTGACTGCACAATAGAATATACCAAACACAAAATTTTGTCCTAAAAAATAAATTCCTACCCAAAGGAATGGGATAACAATATTAAATATTGATAAAGGTTCTCGTCCGGTTGATATTTTTCTAAAATTATTGCCGCGTAGTTTGTTTATACATATTTCTTCCTGTAAACACTAAAGAATATCAGCAGTTCTAAAAAACAAAAAAATAAACAAGATAATAAAACAACAAATAGAGAAAAAAAACCAATGATGACAGTAATTGGTTGTACTATGCTTATGTTTTACAATAAAGTACCATCTATCTCACACTACAGGTCACAAAACAAATCACCTTCGAATTCCCTGATAAAACAAGCTATTTCAAGAGCTCGCTGTTTTATATTTAAGTCCTTCTACAATAATACTGAAAGAAATGCTAATACATCAAAACCATACTACATCGATAAGGTGTTTTCTTGTTTGAAACAAACTGTTCTAAAGGCGAAGACTGTCCATCGACGAATTAATGACTAAGTTCAAAGGAAGATCTGTCCTATAGCAGTATTTTCCTATGAAGCCAATTAAAAGAGGTATAAAATTGTGGCAACGAAGTGATTCTTTGTGATCCACACCTGTTACTGGAACTCTAGGAGAACGAGTTGTTGAAACTCTAGCCAATACCATACAGTCATCAGTTGTGTGTCTGTGCTTTGATGATAGATTTTTCACTTCGTTCCACCTACTAAACACCCTAAGTTTTTCAGGTTTAGTATCAATATGACCAATCGGCTAAACGTAGCCAAATTTGAAAATAACAAAATGTGAAGGGGTTATATGGAGTGTTTAGTTTTATTCAAAGGAATTGTAGCGAGTAAATGGCAAAATACAAAAAAGTAATGCTGATGTTTAATTGTCACAGTAAAACTGTTGAAATTATTAACAGAAAGCTGCAAACTGGAGAAAAGCTGAAGTTCGTTCAAAATGTTAGCACATATGATATGGACCGAAATCTGCGAAATGGTGAAGAAAAGTTTTTCATAGATTAGTTATGTACGCTATTATAAATTCTTGGATTATATACAATGATTTGCATAAAACAAGTGTACAACAACGTAATACAAAATTTTTACTTTTGAATTTTCTGGTGCCACTAGCAGAACATCTAATTGAATTAGAAAAATCAAAATCAAATGTAAAAAGACAAATAAGTGGCCGTTTTAAATAATATGTAAACGACAGAATCAGATGATCAATGTTGGAGACCATTTGCTATAACAAATACCTACTATAAGAGGGTGCTTTAAATACAATAAATAAAAAACACGAACTATTACTATTTGTACAGCGTTCATTGTACCTCTATTTAAAAATTGTTTTTCACCACATCATTCATAAGAAATGTAATGTACTTGTTTTATTTTGAATATAAGTTTGTTTCTTTACTGATGGGATTTATTTATCCCACCATTCAACACTGATGGGACATATATGGCCCATGTCCCTTCTAACGATACGAGGACATGCATGAATGTAAGAAAATCAATCTCTTGTTAGGCCTTTAGGTACCAATGAATATCATTCGACAAGAATCAACAGTTTTATTTAGGTTCAATGAAATCAGTAATGAAAGGGTTATTTTTATGAAAAAATAGGAGTTGTACACTCTAACATAAAATATACATAAACATTACTTATCATAAATATTAAACCTGTATGCAATTAAAGAGAAAAAAGAACGACAAATCATATGATAGAAGAGTAATACGCATCTAAAAGGTATGGATGTACTGTAATTCTCATCCAAAAGTTTGTGCTACGACACTATAATTAAATTAAAGTCAGGTTTGTACATATAGTCGATTCGTCAGAGATTTGATCTCTAAAAACAAAACGAACAAACTAAAGTTTGCTGAGAAGGTGAATTTTTGGACCTCAAAAAAGATGCAAAAAAGGTTGTCAATCTTAGCCTAGAGATTGCTCTTAAAGCCCTTTTCGAGAGTCGGAAAATTGTAAATTTCGATTTGCAAACAATCTGTAACCCATAGAAAAAAAATTTTTAAAAAAGAAATGTAGCTAAGATATTTAATAATAATATAATAAAAACGATAGAATAATACAAGAAATTATAACTTCTTTTAGAAATGATGAATGCAGTGATGATGATGTTATAGTAAACTCCTGTTGTTTAGTTGTGATGTGTTAAATCGGATATAGTAGATTTTATCACTTAAATAATAGCAAGCAATAGACGTAAAAATGTCAAAGGGTAATTGTGAAATGCCTTAGTGGTAAAAATGGATTTAATAAAAATGGGATAGCAACTTTTTATTCTAGACTGCAAGGCCTGTTACGAATTATAATAATAAATGATTTTGTATTAATTAATCTCATAATAAATATTGAATCATATAAAGCTATAAAATGTACTAAAAATATTAGATAAAATGTTGACCTAGACATTTCTAATTCAGAGATAACAACGCTCCAAAATAAATTGGGTCAAGTTGAATATACCATTTTTTAGTAGTTAATTTTTTTTAATTTTTGAATTTGTGTAGGTTTTGATTTATATAAAATGAATAAAACCAACAAGGTCATTATATTACTGTGTAGATAGGAATCACAATCACAACATTAGATTTAACCAATATCTTGTGAATAATTGATTGTTTCCAAAAAAAGTTTTGAATCTTCTTTCATCATCTACCTGAGGAAAGGAATGTCAAACGTTTATAACGTTTTTTCTTCTTCTTGTAGTTCCTTCTCCTGTCGGAGGTTGGCTATTATCACAGTTATACGTACCTTATTGGCGGCTGCTCTAAAAAGATCTACTGAGCTGCAACTATACCACTCTCTTAGGTTTCTCAGCCCGGAAATGTTTCGTCTTCTTATGGATCTTCTACCTCTGATTTTACCTTGCATTATGAGCCTTAATATCTCATATTTTGCACCTCTGGTAATGGGGCCTAAATATTTCAGCTTTCTTGTTTTGATGTAGAATATGTAAGCATATAGAAAATTCAGGTCCCGAAATCCTACCAGAAGAAATAACGGCAGCCGTCAGAAAAATGAAGGATGGAAAGATACCGGGACTTGATGAAATTGCTGCAGAACTGCTGAAGTTATTAGATACAGAACAAATACAAATAATAACTGATATATTTAATGAAATATACAAGGCAGGAAAAATACCAGTAGAGTGGCTCAAATCGGAGTTCGTACCATTGCCCAAAAAACCAGGAGCAAAAGTTTGTGAAGATTATAGGACAATAAGCCTAATGAGCCATCTGCTGAAGTTGTTTTTAAAGATCATCCACAAAAGAATTTACCGGAAATGCGAGGAACAAATTGCGCCCAATCAGTTTGGATTTGTGAACGCCGTTGGTACGAGGGAAGCTTTATTTAGCGTGCAGATCTTGTTTCAGAAATGTAGAGATGTCAGCTGTAATGTTTTTGCATGCCTGATTGACTACAAGAAGGCTTTCGATAGAGTCAGGCATGAACAAATGATGGAAGTGTTGAAGAGGACAGGGATTGATGGAAGAGAATTAAAAATTATAGCTAATCTGTATTGGAATCAATCAGCGGTACTCCGAATAGATGAAGAATATACAGAACAGGTCAAAATCCTAAGAGGAGTGAGACACGGGTGCATAATTTCACCACTGATATTCAATCTGTACTCGGAGCACATTTTTGAAGAGGCCCTAAAAGATATTGATGAAGGCATCTCAATAAATGGAGTCAAGCTTAATAACCTGCGGTATGCAGATGATACAATAGTGTTTTCCAATACCATAGAAGGGCTGCAAAACTTAATGAACAAAATAACAGAAACAAGTAGAACCTATGGACTGGATATAAACACCAGCAAAACCAAGCTAATGATCATCAGCAAACAAAACATAACTGGAGAAATCTGTATGTGAACCAAATGAGAATTGAACGTGTCTCACAATACAATTACTTGGGAACTATAATCAATGAGTCGTGGGACAATACCCAAGAGATTAAATGGAAAGGCCAAAAGTGCATTCTTGGCTATGAGCTCTGTGTTCAAAAGCCATGACCTCACCCTGATAACAAAAATAAGGCTCCCTAAATGTTACGTATACTTAGTGCTTCTGTATGGAGTAGAAACGTGGACATTGAAGGCGGAATCAAGGCAGATACGAGCTACTCCAATGCATTTTGCAGGGTAAAATTGAAGGAAAAAGAGCCCCAGGACGAAGAAGAATATCCTGGCTTGCTAACCTGAGAGCATGGTATAGGAAGACCTCAACACAGCTATTTCATATAGCAACCAACAAAATTATCATAGCCAGAATGATCGCCAAAGTTCGGAACGGACAGGCACCCTAAGAAGAAGAATGTAAGCATAGCCAAAGTGACAAACCAATAAATTTTTAACAGCAAACGTCTAATC